GCAGGCTAGTTTTTCTTCCAATCAATTTCATTGTTTTTAAAGCCAGTGAAACTAAAGGCTGCAATGGAACTAGATATTCTTCGCTGTTGATACTCTAGGCAACTTGTTCATTCTATGTTCTCCACCATCGGCATACCTACATTGGTTACATGAGCTGGAAGTCTGTCTGTTCCCTCGACAATGGAAAATAACCCTCTTTTTTTCATCGCCTTGTTGCAACTTGAAATGAAAATATCGCCTAAACTTTGCATTTCACGAAATCTTTACATATCATCGGAAACTTCCATCGAAAATGTCATGAATGTGTCCTTGTACATCCTTGTAAACAGAACCTGAAAATGCCGTTTTGCAACAAAACTTAAAACTCATTTCTGTTTATCTCATTTGATAAAGAGAGAATGATTAATGCTTTCATTAAGATAGTATTGCCTTGATTTTTCAATATTTCCAATGTTCACTTTTCACCCACATTTAATGCAAACTATTTCTTGGTGAACCAGAAACAAAATGAAAAATGTTTAAAACACATGACGTCGTCCACCCTTGTCTAATGTGAAAGCATGATCGTTTCAATTGTAATGCCTTCTTATCCAAATGCTAGTTATGTTAGTTTGTTTCTCTGGTACCTTATTAGTGAACACTGAACTAATGCTCACACTCTAAACATGAAAATCAACCACAATATTCCCTAAACCAGATAATATTAAACATAACCCAAATATTTCAATTCATTTGTTCAATTCACGAGTTTGCTCACAGAGCACTTTGATTTAAACGGGCGAGACACGTTTGCGTGGTTGCCGACCGGGCATGGGCAAACTCTCATTTACCAGATTACTGTACTTGTTGCACGAACGGTTATTTTTGGCAAATTTTCAGTTTGTGTGCCCTCGTTTTGATGGTCGTCTGATCCAAAATACTAACGAAGTAGTCCAAGCAATTCTTGCATGACTGCATGATAAACAGAATGTCACTTTTGGCTCCCTTATGCTCTTCGGAGATTCAACGATCGCGTGATAGAACACTGATTTAATGATAAAAAGATCTCGGTGTTTTACCCAGAAATTGAGGTCGTTTTATTGAGTAAAATACAGCACCTACATGGTATCTTAATTTGCTATCTGAATGAGGCCTAAAATAGTCTAATTTTAATGGACAAATATGGAACCACGGGCTGACAGTGGCTCAACGGAGTCTTAATTTGGGCTGAAATAGTTCTTTCATAGGGCTGTTTTAGCCTAAATTGTACCCAAATGGCGTCACAAGAGGCCGAATCAGATCTTCAGGTTTACATTGATCTTTTGGGCTTACAATCAAGACTCTTGGTCGCTGTCCGCACCTGAATATTTTTAATTAACAAAGTTGTATACTGCTACATGGTTTTATTAGATTAACAACTAAATATCACACATATCATCAGTTTATAACATGGTTCCCACTGAGTGAGTTTGGTGAAAGGTCATGTCAGAACATCATCATCATCATCATCATCATCATCATCATCATCATCCTCAGAGTCATCTGGAAGGTCAAGAAACAGCAGAACAATTGTCAATTTTAGTAGGTACGAGTTTAGCGCTACAACGTTGATACCACGTATGCAGGACATGTAGGGAGCGGTTTTCCCTGTAAGGTCACGTAAGAAACGACAAAAGGAGACAAAGGTTAACTATTCATTCTTTTCATTCCTTTATGTACTCTCTTCTTACTCAACAAGATTGTTTACTCCCTGTGGTACAATAATTAAAATATTTATTAA